TTTAAATAACGCGGTTTTTCTTCCTTCATTATTATATATATGTAACATAGCAAACCCCTAGCGATAAACCCTAAAGGTAATTCTCTTTTCTTCCTCTCTCTGACGAATACCAGCGTTCATAACAGTTACGATCATTTATTCATGTAAATTTATCGATATTATGGTATTGATTTCCAAATTGGACATTTTTTTTCCCTTCTTGTGTTCGATAGGTATGTTATCGAAACCCTAATTTTTTAGAAAGTCTTCGAAAATGGGGGTTAGGTTTTAAAGTTTGTTGTTTGTGAATGGTTATAGGTTGCAAGTTCAACCTTTGTTCGCGAAGATGATGACCTTCAAATGGAGCCCTAACGTATCAATATTGAAGAAAATCAAAAGCGACCAGTAAGTATCAATGTATTCATGTAATTGTTCTTGAAATGATAATTGGATTAAAGTATTTAATCCAATTTAATTGATTCAAATCTCTACAGTCTGACTGAATACGAAAGGATAAAGGAAGCTCATAATCATGTTGACAGCATAGCCAATAAAACCCCTTGCAGGGTCCAAATAGTAAGCTAGGAATTGGTAAGGCAAGCTTCCTTTAAGAGTAGGGTTTAGAGCCCTCCAACGTAAGGAGTGTATGATTGAACATTACATATAATAGTTGTATTCAGTTGTTGAAGAATTGTTTTTAATTTTATATAAGGATAGTTGTTGTGATATACGTTCACGTTTCGGGATCAAGTAGTTAGATGCGTGCAGTAGCCTATATCCTCAGGGCAGAGCACAAGAAATCTTCACTTAAAGATTTACCAAGAGTGGTAGCTTTTGCTCTGCATGAAGACCGAACCTAGAATCAACTTTACAATTATGCCTATCATGCTGAAGAGAACCTGTTAAATAATAGGATTTGCACACAACTGCAAGTATTTTAAACCCTAAACCCAACTACTCACATGAAAAATTATACAACATAGATGTCAATCATGTTATGGGAAATCCTGACATCTTTGTTGTATAATTTTCTATATGAGGAGTAGGGTTTAGGGTTTAAATTGCTTATAATTGTGTGCAAATCTTATTTTTCGGCAGGTTCTCTTCAGCATGATAGGCATAATTGCAAAGTTGATTCTAGGTTCGGTCTTCATTCAGAGCAAAAGCTACCGCTCTTGGTAAATCTTAAGTGCCAGATTTCTTGTGCTCTGCCTCGAGGATATAGGCTACTGTACGCATCTAACTACTTGGTCCTGAAACATGAACGTATATTACAACAACTATCCTTATATAAAATTAAAAATAATTCTTCAACAATTGAATACAATTATTATACGTAATGTTCAATCATGCACTCCTTACGTTGGAGGACTCTAAACCTTAAACCCTCAAAGAAAGCTTGTCTTACCAATTCCTAGCTTACCATTTGGACCCCCAGGTTTTATTGTCTATGTAGTCAACATGATTAACCTGGATAATCCAAGTTACAGAACTAATTTCGGCCATGATTGCGGGAGACTATAGTCTACAGATTGTTTGGCATTTATATGATGATGCGGATGAAATAGACTAAGAGAGTAAATTTTGTTAATGTAGGGTTAATTTTGTATAAGTTACATACGATTTATAATTTTTTATGTGATGTAATTATGTATGAGATGAGAAAAGTTAGCAATAGGTTATTGTACATGTTTCTTATACACAATAGGAGTCATGTTGATACTTATGACATATGGAGATCGTTGTCAATACGTGCGGGACTGAATGGCTATTCCATTCTGTCTTCGAAAAAATCAGTTGATGTAGGTTGTGTGCTTGTATTCAAACTGAGCTTGACTTGAGGACATGTTAGTTTGTTATGTCCCTCATCGTTGCAGTACACACATCGCCTAATTTTCTTCTCGACCTTATTCTTCGGTACTTCTTTTCGATTGCGTTGTTTTCGTTGAGGGTCATGAACGTTGTTTACTACACTGATCTGGTTGACTGAATCATTCAAACTAAATGAGTTTTCAAATTCTTCTATTAGTCTTTTCATCTCATCTCTTGCGGTTTTGAAAGACCCGTCTGTCTTTGGTGCAATGTAGCATAACCTACTTGACGTTGAATGTAGAGCAGCGAACATTTCCATTTGCATCACTTCTGGAGGCACATTCAAGTCAACATAACTGGGTGCAGAAGCCTTCGCATCCTTAGTCCACCTACTTTGAATCAAATTCCCGGGCAAATATGTGTAATCCAAGTGCTTCAAAATGTGAAGTTGATGGCGACACGGAAGTCCAACGGTCTCGAATTTTTTGCATTAGCAAATTAGGGTTTCCGTACGAGAATCAAAACTAATTTCAAATGTCCTATTTTTTTTCTTTGTACTTTGACAAAATATAATACTGACATTCATCTGATAAGGACTGAATCTCTTCCTCAATCCGGTACAATATCTCCCGTAGAAGTTCATCTTGGAACGCATGAAAAGATTCATGGGTAAAAATCTCAGTAGCATGGCTTTCAAGGTCAACCAGTTTTGTGATCTGGAAGGGCTTCGTCTGGGAACTTAAGTAATCCGCTTTCAACTCGTTCATACGCATTCTACTAATTCCATCTTCAATTGCACGAACAACATCTAAATATGTCTTCTTGTGTTTCAGTGCAATCGCTAGTGAAGCATTCATAGACTCGCACCTTTGTGTTGAGCAAATAATGGCAAAGAAATGACCGGTTAAATATGCTTGTGCCCATAAGTGCCGAGTATTTCCCTTCTCAATCACCCATGGATGTTTTTGACGTTGAATTCCGAAACAACCGAACGCCATTGAATATCAAATTCCTCGGTTGTCCACCAGGAAGCCATGCATTTTGAGAATGATACTGTAAATTTTGGGTCACCAATGTTAGCTTGTGAATTGCGAGAAAGATGCCAAGAACATAATATGTGCTTAGCATAAGGGATAACAGATTTGATAGCCCTCTGCATTGCCCTATCCCCATCGGTGACAACTGAAATAGGTGATTTATTCATCATGGCTTCTAAAAAATTCTGTAGCACCCACTCGAAAGATTGAGACGTCTCGTCAGCGATTATGGCAGTGGCAAACACAATTGTGTTATGGTGAAGATTGACACCGACAATAGGCATAATTGGTCGACCATACAAATTATCTTTGTACGTTGTGTCGAACGCAATTACATCACCGAAGCATGTGTAATACGATCTAGATGTAGAATCCGACCAAATAAGATTATGCAATGCCCCTGATTCGTCTACCGAGTATGTCAAAAAAACCCCAGGATCATCATGTTTCTTATAATCAAAGTAGGCAATAAGCGCATTCACATCCCCATCGACGATTTCCTTTGCTTTACCTCTTTGAAGTGCATTGTAGAGGTCTTTATGTGTAAATCTAACATTATGATAGCCCCCTGCCTGCTGCGTAAAATAGTTCATTACTTGTGACGTGCCAACACTGACCTCTTTCAATGTTGTTGCCTCATCGATATCAGCCTTACTTACAGCTCTATTAGAACGCATAAATGGTGTCATAGTAGGTGTGCACAATGCATGATTATGTTTCTGATAAGACTTACTTATAACCTAGTGATCGTTTGTATTTGCTGTTGTAACTACGACTCTAGCCTTACATCTTGTTCTTGTGACTGGCGTATGAGCACGTTGACGATCAACAGTATTGACTTTTGATACTCGAAACCCTTATTTGGAACAACAAAATTCTTGTGTCTTCACATTCCCTTCCACGTCAAGCCGTGTTGTTCCCTTACGTGCACTAAACTCATGTTCCCGTGCGAATCTCTTGTAAAAGTACCAAGCTTGATCACGTGAAGAGAAGAGTTGACCAACTAATCTGTCAGATTCATCAACATTATGTACTTCATGGCATTCCCCAGTTGGTTTAACATTGTTTGCATCAGTATGATCCATGGCAAAAAGGTTGTTATGCAAGTTCAGTGGTCCCGAAGTTGATGGAGATGTAAGCAAAGGTTCATTGAACATGTTTCAATCGAAGCAGGATGTGGTATTGGTAGTGGTAGTTGAAGAGTGGGTACAACATTAAATTCGCAGTACATATTTAGGTATATACAATAACTACTTAAATATGTGTCGATACATTTTCTACAAGTATCGACCCAAAAAAATCAAAACCAATAATTATAATGTAATAGGTAAATTAACAATGTAACCGGTATAAATATATCGGTTAATTAGAAAACAGGTGAACATCAAGTATCGACACTTGTGGAATTTGTGTCGATACTTATTTTCCGGAATGAATGCCCAAACGAGGTGCACACATAAAGTGTCAATACATTTATTAACAGTATCGATCCCAAAATCATCGAAACTGATAATTATAATGTGATAGGTAAATTTACAATGCACCCGGTATAAATATACTGATTTTATGAGAAAATAGGTCTAAATAATGTATCGACACTTTTTAAGTTTGTGTTGATACTTTTTCCAGAATGAATGCCCAACGAGGTGCATTGTTATTTTGGTGTTTAGACTTTGAATTCGTTTTATACACTTTTTTGATATTTTTTTGTTAAATTTATTAATTTATATTTATATTAAGTTTTATATAGTATTAATATATTCTACTTATAGTTAAAAAATAAAATAAAAAATTCAATGAACTTAATGACCAACTAGTCGAGCAATAAATTTTCTTAATAAGCACGAGTCAAGTAAAATTTTAACAAGCAACTAATCGAACAACAAAATTTTCTTAACGACCACAAATCAAGCAAAATTTTAAAGAGCCTATATATTGATAACAAAATTTTCAATGATATCAGAAAACAAATAAAAAGGTTGATCAAAAACAAGTTATAGTGAAAACAAATAAAAAGGAAGACAATGAACATAATGGCTTGGGGATCCAATTATTGACAACGCAACCTTTGAGCAATAAAAGAGAAGACAATGATTTTGTTTGATCCTGTAACACTTGGTAGCATAACTGGAACAGTCACAGGTGTGTGCTAATACAGCTTTTATTATGTTCCAAACGAAACAAGGCAAAGGGAAAATTACAACCATGCGGGGTTCTTCAAAGGAGTAACCACAGCCTTCACCTGCAAATAGTTATGAAGACTGTATATCCCTTTCTCCCTTCCAATGCCACTCATCTTGTACCCACCGAAAGGAATTGCAGCATCAAACACATCGAAGCAATTAATCCAAACTGTCCCCACCCTCAACGCCCTCGTCAACGTGTTTGCTGTATCTATATTTTGGGTGAACACTCCTGCTGCTAGACCGTATCGGGTTGTGTTCGCCCTTCTGAGCACTTCATCAATATCCCTGGCACGAATGAAGCATGATTCATATGAGCTGCAAAATATTTCATCTATTTAGAGCCGAGGCCAATCAATACTTACTTGAACTTAAGGATAGATTGCACTGGCCCGAAGATTTCATCCTATGCTATCAGCATATCATCCTAGTTGATAACAATGCAATGATGATGTTAGGCGATATGTTAAATATCAAATTATTTCCGACGAATGATGGTTATTACCGTAACATTTGAGAAAACAGTTGGCTGGATAAAGTATCCTTTTGTTCCAAGTCTGTCACCTCCACATTCAAGGGTTGCCTTGCTTTCCTTTCCTGATCTTATGTACCTTAGAACTTTCTCGAACTGCTCCGTGTCAATCTGATATTTTTGTGAGATGAATAGAGAGACATCCGCTCAAGTGCTTCATATGTTTTGTTAAATATCGATCAAGGGAAGAAGAAAGAGGGGGTTAGGTATATTACCTGAGGACCTTGCTCAACACCATTCTTGAAGGGATCACCAACAATACGTCTCAGTGCACGTGCCTTTGCTTTCCCTATGAACTCCTCGTATATACGTTCGTGAACGTAAGTGCGAGACCCAGCGCAGCAGCATTGCCCCTGAAGAGAAAAAACATTACAGAACTCTCTAAGGTGTGTCAAACATCCTAAATTTCATAGCCAATAAAACCTGATTAAAGAACAAGGCAGAATGGGCAAGCTCCACAGCTTGGTCAACATCAGCATCTTCGCATACTATGAATGGTGATTTTCCTCCGAGCTCTAACGTTACTGGCTTAAGATTGCTTCTTGCAGCCAATTCAAGCACAACCTTACCAGTATCAGTTGATCCTGTAAATGCAACCTGCAGACAAAGTTTTAATGGATACATTGGTATTTCGAAGTACATACTGTCATAACCATTTTTTAAGTAAAACAATTAAATATTATTTTAAAAAACGATTATGACTTTTATTTGAAAATTGGTGATTTGAAATTAATTTGAATTAAATTGAATAGAGTCACCATCGACCTTTGGGTTAGGTAGGCCGAATACCTAAAAACGTCTTTTAAAACAATTTTAAGAAAAATCATTTTTAAGACAAAAATAGTCTGCGTTTACCGAAGATTCAATTAAAATGGATTCGGGAGTCGGTTACGTGTGGGGAAGGATAAACACCCCTACAACGCCCAAAATTGGTACTGTGTCGCTTACACCTTGTCGTAAATGGTGGAATTTATGAGTAGAATATAAAGTTAAAATGTGATCCGTTTATTGAACATTGATTTATTCACTTCGAACTAATTAATTATAGAAAATTCTTTAACCCGAAAAGAAATCTCGAAATTAGTAATCCTCCATCGAGAAAGCTAACTCGACTATTTCTTATCAGTAAAAGAATATTCCATCAACATTGATTAAAAAATTGAAACGAATATAAATTAACTATCGACCTCTACATAAATTAAATTGCCATATAAAAACACATTGAATCATAAGAGATTTAATCAGTAAAATAAATTAAATTTATTTCAAGTCTTATTTCGTTTGAACGTTGTATCAGATTGTACTACTTCGGTCAAGTGATACTCTCCACACCCGTTCTACAAATACATTCTTGAAATATTCGGATAACATTAATACTTAAGGAAATGGAAATAAATATGATTAAAAATGCACAATAAAATATTTACAACAATAGAGTTAGGCATATTTATTTACATTTGATACAAATGACTACATAACACGAAATATGCACATACATATTGAAATAAATACAAATGAATATTACAACCCAAAATATAATGGTCAAAAAGTAAGTATTTAATAATTACAATGACTAACATGGTAATAACAAATTAAAGGGCTAAAACAGCAAAATAGAAAATTAAAAGACTAAAATGGCAAAAAAAACAGAAATGTAGGGACTAAAATAGTAATTAAACAGAATGCAAACTAGTGACTAAAATGAACAGATTTACAAATCTTAGAGTCAAATTCGAACATCAGCCAAAAATATACAACATACAAAATCAGTGACTAAAATGAAACTAATACAAACATTGTGGCCAAAGTAAAATATGAGTATAATAATATAACATGTAATAATAGGACTAAAATAATAAAAATAGACATTTGAAGGTCTAAACAGTAATAAACAAAAACAAGAAGGCTGAATCATAAATAATCAAAATGTAAATTAGTGACTAAAGTGATTGATTTACAAATATTGCTTCCAAATTCGAACATAAAAACATAACACAGGATCAGTGACTAAAATGTAAGAAACATAAATATCATGGCCACTCGAATAGCAGGGAAAATATTCATAACATTAAATCAGTGATAAAAATAGAATAATTAAAAATATGGTGACCAATATCAAACAAAAACAAATATGGTAAAATAAACGAACTAGGGACTTTAAATATAAACTCTGAAATGTAAGTGCTCAAAATCAAAGGAATGGAACTTCATTAAATGCCTCAATATAGGATTACAAAACCCAAGGGACTAAAAGTGTAGTTATCCCGTAACTCGAAAAATCAGATGATATTGGGGCAAAACGACTGCGTTTTGCTCGGCATACCCCCCCAAAACCGAGCTCATCTCTCATATTCCCTCATTTCTTCATTTCAACCAAAAACCAGAGAGAGAGAGTTGGAGAGAACTCTCCCAACTCTCTCATCGGAGAAGGTGCCAACCGTTGCCGCCGGCGGAGTCCACGGCGACGCACGGTGGCCGGAGGGAACAACCTATCTCAAAAAATCCCCCTCGTTCTCCTCAACCCAAATCCCCAACCATCTTAGTCTAAAACCCACTCTAGGCCCCCAGATCTACAAGTTTACCTTTCGAAGTAATAAGACACCGACGACCTTTGGTGTTCTCGATGGCTTCCTCCGACCGAGGTAAGGGTTCTCTCTTTCTCTCCTTTGGCTATGTAACTCTTGGCTTTTTTTTTTTTTGTCACCCCCTCCCCCATTCGAATGTAATCCCCGAATGAATCCCCAATATTTCTCTCTACTCTGCTTTATGTCGCCTCTGTGTTTTTTTTGTGATTGTTTGTTGCTGATAGATGTTATTGACATGTTAGATTGCATTGGGATATCACATGGATTTCTTTTCATTTTTCTATTGGGTTTATTCTGCTTTCATTCTGACTGATGGAGTCTCGGTCACTGTAGGTGATCACTGTTCGATGGACGTGTTCTAATCGGCTCCAATGGTGGCGGGGGCGAGGGTGAAGCTCGGCTGGGAAGCTAAACGGTCAGGCGCGCGGCGGCTGTTGAATGATTAGGGGATTAGGGTAGAAACCCTAATCTACTTAGGGTTTAGTTAGGCTGATTTGGGTCCGAATTTCGGGCTTCAGGTTGAAGGGTTGCTGGATCAGGTCTGTGATGTACTGGGCCTCAATAATTGGCCTGCAAAAATGTAACTTGTAATTTAATAATAAGAATAATAAAATAATAGTAATAATAATTATAATAATAATAGAAAAAATATAAACAAAAATAAAAAAGACCCGGACAAAAACGGGTGTCTACAGCTGCCCCTGCACATTCTTGTGTTAACAAGAATAGGGCAAAGATGAAAAGACATCACGTTTTTGTCTGGTTCTCTCCCTTTCAAACCTAGAAATTGGATAATGTTGGTTGTTGGGGACGACACTGCTCATACGTGATGAAGAGTTCGGGTCGTCTAAGGGTGACATGGTTCCTACGTGATGAGGAAATCTGGTCAAGGGTTGACACTGCTCATACGTGATGAAGAGTTCTTGGCCATCTTAAGGTGATAACACGGTTCCTACGTGATGAGGACGGCTGGTTATCTACAGTTGACACAGCTCCTACGTGATGAAGAGATCTGGTCTGGGGAATGACACGGCTCATACGTGATGAAGAGTTCTGGCCATCTAAAGGTGATAACACGGTTCCTACGTGATGAGGACGGCTGGTTATCTATGGTTGACACGGCTCATACGTGATGAAGAGATCTGGTCTGGGGATGACACGGTTCCTACATGATGAGGACGACTGGCCATCTTTAGGAGTTATGGTTTCAAGAGAAACCAAATTAAAGATTTGTTTAAAAAGAAACAAACCCAAAGATTTGTTTCAAGAAAAATAAACTCAAAGATGATATTTTTAAAAGCAACTGTCTCAAAAGAGACCAAATTCGTTTTAAGGGAAACGACTCAAAGATGACGTTTAAAGGGAAACTGTCTCAAATGAGACAAAATTCGTTTAAAGGGAATTGATCTCAAAGATGTTTGTTTTGTTTCAAGGGAAACAAATTCAAAGATGGTAAATTTTGTTTTCCAAATAAACAAACTCGAAGATTTTTCTCAAAGAAACTGTCTCGAGAGACACAAAATTTTGTTTCCAAAGAAAGAGATTCAATGATTTTTTTCAAAAGAAATTGTTTTAAGGGATAAAACATTGTTTCCAGAGAAACAAACTCAAAGATGATCTTGTTTTAAGAGAAAATGTTTCAAGAGAAAATGTTTCAAGTGAAACGACTCAAAAATGGTTTTATTTCAATTGAAACAAACTCAAAGATTTTGTATTTCTAGAGAAACTGCCTCAAGGGAGTCAAAATTTGTTTTAATAAAAACAATCTCAAAGGTGGGTAGTTTTAAAATAAATGGTCTAAACGATCTCAAAGATTGGTATTTTCAAAAGAAGTTGTCTCGAGAGACAAAATTTTGTTTCAAAGGAAACAAACTCAAAGATTTTTTTCAAAAGAAATTGTCTTTAAGAGATAAAATTTTGTTTCAAAAGAAACATACTCAAAGATGAATCACATCTTAAGTGAGACCAAATTTGTTTCAAATGAAACAATCTCAAAAGTTAGTTTTTCATTAGAAACTGTCTCAAGAGAGACAACATTTGTTTTTAAAGAAATAGACTCAAAGATGATTTTGTTAAGAGAAACAAACTCAAAGATTTTCAAAATGAACATATTCAAAGATTTAATTCAAGAGAAACTGTCTCAAGAGATACAAAATTCATTTTAAGAGAAATAGATTCAAAGATTTTTTTCAAAAGAAATTATCTTAAGAGAGACAAAATTTTGTTTCCAAAGAAACAAACTCAAAGATTTTTGTTTTAAAAGAAATTATCTTAAGAGAGACAAAATTTTGTTTCCAAAGAAACAAACTCAAAGATTTTTTTCAAAAGAAACAATCTCAAAGATTTTTTTCTTTTCAAAATTGTCTCAAGAGAGACAAAACTTTGTTTCAGACTCAAAGATTTTTCACGAAATTGTCTCAAGAGAGACAAAACTTTGTTTCAAAATAAATAGACTCAAAGATTTTCAAAAGAAACAACTCAAAGATATTTATTCAAAAGGAACAGACTCCAAGATTTTTATTCAAAGGAACAAACTCAAAGATTTTTTCAAGAGAAACTGTCTCAAGAGAGACAAAACTTTGTTTCAAAATAAATAGACTCAAAGATTTTTCAAAAGAAACAACTCAAAGATATTTATTCAAAAGGAACAAACTCCAAGATTTTTATTCTAAAGGAACAAACTCAAAGATTTTTTTCAAGAGAAACTGTCTCAAGAGAGACAAAAAAAAAATCGTTTTAAAAGATTCAAATATTGTCAATTTTGTTTATATGGAAATGATCTCAAGGGTGGTTTTCAAAAGTGTTTATTTTGTTTCAAATGAAACAATTTCAGGATTTGTTAAGAGGGGAAATGTCTCTTGCGAGACAAATCAGCTTTGAAAATCTCAAGTGATATTAATTTTGCTTTAAATACAACAACCTTGAAATTTGTATTATGAGAGAAAATGATGTCTCAAGCGAGACAAAATTTGCTTTAAGATATAGTCTCAAATGAGACAAAATTTGTTTTTA